TGTAAATTCATGAAGCCACAGTAAATTGACTTCTCTTGAAGATAATTTGAAAATAAGTCAGATCTGGTTGCATAGACACCTACATCTGGAATTTAAGGATTTTCTGCTGTCGGAGTAAGAACTTAAGCTAACCTCACCAAAGTACAGCGAAAGATATGAAGTGGTAAATGGGAGATGAGAGTTCTGAAGCCATTTTAAGCTCTTCTGTGACCAAGTAATAGTTAGAGGCATTGCATTAACTGTGTTCAGTACAAGGATTTGATTTTGGAAACTAGTGGGCTTCAATAAAAAATGAGGAGATAAACATGAATATTAACTGGGCACAGTGACATGTGCCATTGATCCCAGCACTTGGAAGCCAGGATTTCTGTGAGATTGAGGCCAACCTGGTCTACATAGCAAGCTCCAGGCCAGCTGGGTCTACAAAGAGACCCTGTCTCAAAAAAAAAGAAATAAATAAAACATGAAAATAAATTAGACATCATTTATAATTTATATGACATATATTAAACATTTTACAATGCACTACATCATAAAATACTCTAAAAGCAAAAATAATCAGAGGAGGATAAATTTGATATATCTTATTTGGAAAATTTAATGATAACTAAGGGGAACAATATTTTGTGTGGTACTAAGAACTGAACTTGGCAATCATCCCACTATTGAGCTCATTCCATAGCCTTTTCCCCCCTTATTTTGAGACAAGATCCCAAAATCCACGCTGGCCTTAAACTTATTCTGTAGCCCAAGCAGGCTTTGAGCTTGTGATTCTCCTGCCTCAGCCTATTTTGGGCTTCAATATTGCACTTGCAAATATTAATACAACATACAAACTCATTTTGTATGTAAAAAATTATTAAGAAAAAGTTCAGTCATTGTGATACCATGGATAATATAAAAGACGAGAAACATGCTAAATATTCACTAGGAAACTGATGAAACTATGTCTTATACATGTGCTGTCGTAGACTGATATACAGGAACAACTCTCCTTGTGGTTATGAAAGGAAGTGAGCAGGAAACAAAATAAGGTAGATTGTGTACTAAGATTTGAGAAAACACACAAATTTCTCCTGTCAGGAAATATAAAAATAACAGCTGCCTTCAGGAAAGGGAACTGGAGACCTGAGAGACTGAGCTGGCAAGAAGGTTTACTGTTCAGGAAAATCTCTTGATCGTGATGAGATTTCTATTCAAGTGCTTCTATTAGCCACTCAAGCCAGTTAACCAATGGACCTTTCACAAAACTCTGAAAAGAAGAGCAACCTGAAATACTTACATTGCAAAGTCAGGTAAAATTGTGTCAATGAAGTGATTCAGAAAATTAGTGCTCAAACATTTTTGCTGCCTTATCTCTTTATATTCTTTTAAAAAATATTTATTTGTTATTTTTATTTTATGTATATGCATGTATTACTTCCATGTATGTACGTGCACGTGTCATGCAATACCTGAGGAGGACAGAAGTGGCCGTTGGATTCCCTGGAACTGGAATTGTAAACTGTTGTTAGTTGCCATGTAGGTGCCTGTGATTTGAACCTGGATCTTCTGCAAGAACAGGCAGTATTCTTAACTACTAAGCCACTTCTCCAGCCCATCTCTTTATACTCTTTAAAATGATAGACAACTTGAAGCTTTTAGTTTATGTAAAATATTTGTCATTCAAAAACTGAGAAATTTAAGAATATTTATCTCAAAATTCGTTTGTGAAAACAATTATAACCATGATTAAAATAACCTCCCCAGACAAAGGAGAAGAGTAACAATGTTTCCTGTTTTTGCTAGCTTTTAAAAACAGCAGGTTTTCAAAGCTACCTTCATGTTTCGTCTACTGCAACATGACTGGCACTGAATTATGTAGCTTCCAAATAACTCCACTGAGAAAATGCACAGTGGAAAAAGCTAATGCTATGTTAATATTGTTCATGATAACACATGAACCTAGAGCAACATCTTCAAAGCTTAACTTGAAATGGATTAAAGACGTTTAACGCGAGATATGAAATAGCTGTAAGAGAAAAGGGTAAATGTATTGTGACATTGGAGTGGTATGAAAATCCAAGTAAAAAGAGAAAGATAAATGGAATCAGACTAAAAGTTTTCACAAAAAATGATAGTTTGAAGACAACCTACAGATTAGAAGTTTCGAAGTTTTGCAAACTATACAGCTAATAATGTGTTCATAGCTAGAATTACAAAGAAGTCTAAAAACCTGAGTACTAAATATAATAAAGAACCCCTCCCCCAAATAAACCAGCTGAAAATGGGAAGTAAGCCTGAATAAACACTTACCCAAAGAAGAGACACATATACAAGTAAATTTTAAAAACTCTTCGATATCATTAATCATCAGGAAACTGCAAATCTAAACCACAATGAGATATGGTTGTGACAATGGTCATTATCAAAAAGACTAAAGATAATAAATGTTGATGAGGATGTGGAGAAAGGAAAGCCTTGCACCTGTTTGGTGAGAATGTAGATTACTAGAGTTATTATACAAAACAGTATGGAGGTTCAAAATAACAACAACAACAAAACAACAACCATATAATCCAATAATCCCACTATTGAAAATTTGGATATATATCCATAGGAAATGAAATCAGTATGTTGCAGAAGTATCTACACTCACATGCTTGTTGCAGAAATATTCATAATAGCTCAAAATGGAAACAATCTCTGTGCATCATTGATGAACAGATAAGGAAATGTTATGCAGATATACAATATGATAATTTGGAGCCATAAAAAGAACAGAAACATAGAGATAATGAAAATGTATTAAGTATTTGAAAAGTTGGAAAGAATTTTGAATGTTTTAGCATAAAGTGACAAATGTTTAAGTTGATAGATATGTTTAACTGGATTTAAATATTATATGATATATACATATATTAAAGCATGTTTCCCTAGTACTATGTACAAAAAGATACAAGATGAACTTGACTACAGGCAGAGGTCACAGATGCAGATTATTTCATGCTAATGGCAAGTATTGGGGTATTAATGCTAGTCGAAGCAAGGAGACCCTGAGAGGTGTTGCAGACACTTGTTAGTATACATTATTGACTGTTCAATGGATGCAAGGTGGTGTGGTCTTACATCCAGCCTAATGACTGATTTCCTCATATTTCCCAGTTGAAAATGACCCTTACTACCTGCCTTTTTGAGATTCAAGGAATATTTCTTGATCCAAATCAGTCATGTATAACATTCTAGTTCCCTGAGAATGTCATCTAGAGCCTCTGAGAGAAGTGAATCCTAAGGCTGTTTAGCTAAGATATCTAGGGGATGTTTTTGTCCTCCTACCACTCTGGTTCATAGAGTTTTATCTAGGAGTCAGCTATTATCCAAACTATCTGTACTAGGACCATAATAATTTAGCACTTGAATCATGCTGAATTTTGCTTCAACACTCCTGCCTCAGGTCTTAAGAAGGCTATTATAACCAAAAAGTCCTATTATAGATGTGTCTGGATTTGTTGCCAATCTGCTACTAGAACAAAGTCTACTTTATCTAGAGTGTCTCACAAAAATCTATGTGGAAAAAAATGTGTCATAACTAAGTACCCATGGTTTTCGCCCAAGGAACGGATACAATTCTTCTTTTGCATTAATGAGAACAAATTAAATTGCCACATTGTCCCATCCACGGCTGTCAGAGGAATAACTTGGTTCCAGTAGCATTACCTGTGATGACTCTTATATGTTTTCTTTCCTGCTTTATTCCAATGATATGTTTTCCATACGTCAACCTAAAATATGGTTTTGTGCTATCTCTAATTCTCTCTATATGCATATATATTATTGAATTTTGTAGTTCATATAAAACATCTTAATCCTCTGTGTCCCCAAAGGGCCTGGTTCATCCGAGGGGCGGGGCCTGCTGCTGAGAATTGCCTGCAGAGAGTTCCCAGGGGCAGAATGAGCTTTTGGCACCATCCTGGACAGAAGCGGGTCCAGCCAGGCATGCGAGAAAAAGGATGGCCCTGGTTTCGCACACGTGTGGACACCAGAGGGGGCATATACTGACCTGGGACGAGACTGCAGGCCTACGAGGTGTGGGTGAAAGCTAATGGTGACTATGGGCTGGGTGCGGAAGTGATCTGGGCTGGTGGGCTGCTGAGCCACAGGACAGAACTGGGCACTGGGTGTCCGCCTTCTGTGAGGCGCTCCATTTTCCCCCACCCAAGATATTCAGATAAAGATATGTTATATGGTTTGTCTAATAGCACCTGGAGCAAGAGACCCTGAAGAGAGTAAGGGCAGGTCAAACAGAAAACGAGAAGGAGAAAATTTAGTGGGATATCCTCTTTATACCCCCTTCCCATTGACACCCTCCCATATCCCCCATACTGGATTTCATGAACTCTGTTATTTATGGTAAGGCTATCAATTCACGTTAGTGTCCCCAATGTTCCTCAATGCATGTTCATCCACTTGGGTCTATTAAACCTATCTAGAGTCCCTCCCTTAAAGAAAATCAGCTATTCCTCACCCAATAGTAATCAGCTGCCAACAGTTCTTTGGCTAAGACTGGACCCTGCTGCCCTTCTCTAGTTCTTTTACTCAGTGATAGGTAGGCACAAACACAAATGGGAAAACCCCTATATTTTCAGTTCTAGGAGGTCTGCTTACTATCAAGAGTTAACAAGTCTATGTACAATTTTCACTGTAAACTCTTTTCTATTAGTTTTGCTAAAGCATTAATAGACAAAGGAGGGTTATATTTATATGCACTCCTAAAGAAAAACAAAGAACATTACATATTCATTTAAATGAATGCTTATGAAGAGGTTTTCTATTTATCTTATGTATATAGTTTACATCAGAAAATCCAGGCTGGTGGCATCTCACATGTGGGCCATGGCCTCACTCCAAACTGTTGAAACTCATTGTGGATCTGGAACAATTTACTAAAGTCTCACTCACCACTGCTGCCAAGATGGTGAAATTATATTGAAAAGAACATTTCAGAGCAAATTTAATGCTTTCTTGTCCAAGAAAGGTGAAACCAGGACGGCAGCAGGCAGACCTAATGATGAGGTTAGAAGAGCCTGGAGAACCTTCAGGAAAAACAACAAAAAGGGAGAAGCAAGAAGCATGATGACCTCATTTTGAATACATGCTGTTCATTCTTTAACATACTATGACATGCACCTAGACAAAAATGGACCATGATAATAAGACAGGATTCTGTGACCCTGTCAGTGATGTGTATGCCTAGCCCCTCATCTTGTGCTTCATGAATTAGTAATCGGTTTATCAATCATGAACTAAGGCAGACGTGAGGTATTGTTCAGATACAATTAAGATTCTTAAGTGGTTTGCTTTAAAACAATCCAAAGGGTGGTTATCCAAGGTAGGATGACCGAGGCAGGTGAGCTCCCCAAAAGAAGATGGAGAAGTCAGTTTCTTTATTCTGCAGACCTTGAAAAAGCAAACTTCCAGGAAGTTTACAGTTGCAAGGAACATGGGTCTGAAAGACAAACCGCCGCCTCATGTGAGAGCCCAGACTTGCCCATCACTTCGGCTATTGTCTTTTGAGATTCTGAACAGAGGAGTCAGAGGCAAATCCAGTATACTTGGGACTGGAGAGATGGCTCAGCAGTTAAGAGCACTGATTGCTCTTACAGAAGACCTAGGTTTGAATTCCAGCACCCACATGGAGGCTAACAACTGTCCATAAGTCTAATTCCAGGGGATCTGCCATCTTCGTCTTTCCTCCACAAGTTCACTTACTACATGCACACATAACACTCATACACATAAAATAAAAATAAATAAATCAAAGTGGAGAGATTCTGATAGCTCAGATCAGTACAGTACCTGCAGCTGCCACTGACTGACCTTTCCTATAGACATAAAATAAATTTTAAGCAACTACTTTAAAACATAATACTAAATCCAGTACACTTGACCCAGGAAAACTGAAATGAAGAATGCATGTTGATTTAAAATGCTAAGTTTGTGATAACATGGTATGCCATAATAAAGATTAACATAATCATGGCCAGCACTATAGAAAAAATGTCAAGCATATGTGATCTCAATACAATCTTGGTATAAGTATAGAACTGAAGAAATATTCAGGGTATTCACAAATACACATGTCTACAAATAAATAAAATCCATACATACCCAAACCTGTATTGTAAAGGGAGAAAAAGTAAACTTGCTTTCACTGACTTCATCTCAAAATTTGTTCTATGTTTTGTCCTTCTTGTCTTGGATAAGTTAGATAATCACATGTTTTTTTAACTTAAACACCTCAGGATCATCACTGACACAGAGTGCACTTCAGCCCTTCTAACAAATTCGTTATCAAATTCCACAAACTCCTTTTAACTAGTTTTACCCCCGCTAAATCTCCATCTCTACTGACCCTCATGAACTCTTCTTGGAACCAGCAATCCTTCCATTTGGATTCCTTGTCAGTAATTTCCTTACCAGCATCCCTAAGTCTGCCTGCACTCTTTCTGCAGTCCTAAACATAGTCCCTAGAATGACCAATACAGAGGGAAGAAAGGAGGAAGAGTGGAACTGGATGGGTGGAGATGGGAGAAGAAAAGACAGAGCAAGCCTAGGGACCTGTGCAGGGAGTATGAAATGCATTTGCACATATTACTGGCTCATATCATTTTCTGGGGAACAACGGAAAGCCACGCTAGGATTTGCAACAGAGAAATGGCATTTAAAAGAAGTATAGCATCACTTTTCTATACAGGAAATCATTATTAACTTGGAAATGAAAGTTCTCATATGAACCAGCAAAATTCTTGCAAGGAAAAGCTGATTACTAACTCCTTAACCTTGGATAGATTGGACAAAATTATATGTCTTCCTAGCTTTCTATTCTGGAAATGCACACATAACATAAAATTTGTTGTCTTAGTCATTTAAAATTACAATTTTGGACAAACAGAATTTGGAAGATGAAATTGTAATAATTACCGCGAGGATCTGTTTCAGTGGAACTTAGTTCTGTTTCCTTCTCTCTTTTGCTAAATGCTGAAACATGGAACAATATTCACTCTGCCCATCAATACTGAATGAAAGCTTGCTGAGGGAGCTTGATCTCAGGGAGTACACACATCTCAACAGCAACAAAGTGAACATCTCAATAGCTGCTAGTGAAGAAGTTAGGGGAAAAAGAGAGTTGGCCATCATTAGGGAATATTTCACATTTGGTTGAGTAGTATGTCTGAGCAGAGACAAGCCAGACACGATGGCTCACATCTGTAATTACAGTCTCTGAGAGGCAGAGTCAGGAGGATCAAGAATTCAAGGCCAGCCTTGCATAGACAGTGAATACAAGGCCAACCTGAGCTACATGACACCCTGTTTCAAAACATGTTTTAAAGAGATCAATAGAGAAAATCCCTACCACCTAGAATAAAATGAAACAGAATAGCAGTCTCCATATTGAAAATGAAAAGACTTTTCACATACCACCTCTATTTCCACAACTCAATTCCAAAATAGCATGATAGATCATCTTCCACCACAGGGTATTCCTGTGAACAAAGTGGCCACATCTAACCAATTAATCTGTAGATGTGTTGTCAAAGGGACACTCCAAGAACTGAAATGCTACACCTGTGCTCCCCTTCTCTTTCTTGTCCTTGCCCATGCTGACCAAATACACACTCTTAGAGAGATTTTTTAAAAAGGAACACATACTGCTTGAATCCAAACTATGAAAGTGTCTAATTCCAGTTCTCTGTGATTTGGAAGAAAAAACTCCAACAACTTAAGCAGAGATCAAAGGAACATTCTTTTCATACTCATCCCAGATGCCACAAATTTTTAAAGGCTAACACAGCCAGGGGGATGACTAGGCAGATCTTAAAGCAATCTGGTAGTAATGTGCCATCAGCTTGTTTTAAGGCCACACTTCCATTTGAGACTGTAGTCAGCTGAGCAGTGGGGAGCTGAGCTAGGGCTGCTAACTGCACAGCTCACCAGATACAGGAGTGGGATTTACCATGCCAAATATACAGAAGCCTGGATTGAGCCAAAAATCTGGAAGGAGAAAATATAAAGAGGTTTCTGTTCTCCAAGGCTTAAAAGTGTGTAAGATTCCATGAGGCAGAACCTTGTGAAATTGGCAATATTTGAAAACTTTCACAAGGCTGGTTCAACTCAGTACATTGCCGAAATGAAGAGGAGAGGATTCATTTTAAAATATTGCTATAATAACCCATCTATATCTCTAAGCCAAAGTAATGAAATACTGAAGCAGGAAAATATATGATATAATCGGGAAACCATGACATGCACACTCCCTTTGAACTCTTTGATTTTGAAAATTCATGACTTATGTCAATATGCCCAAGCTTGTGCAATGTTCTTAAATAAGCAAAAAGATTTCTTGAAATAAAAATATCAAAATAATCTAATATAAAGCTTGATCATTTGATAGCAATTACAAATGTTAGAAAGACTTTTAAAGAGTACAGTGAAATGTTGGCTTTAGTTGATGCCTCTTCACTCTGCTACTCAACATCTCTGGGTAACATAAAAACAGATCCATTCTCATTATACGACTGGACGTTTTATCATATCAATTCCTATTTCTTGGTATGAATAAAAAGTGAAATGAACACTAGAGCATTCTAATATCCACCAGAAGGGAATGTTAAGTGCCAAAAAGAATGTTCTTATTGTAGAGGCAATCTTAACATGATTGGAAAGACACAGTTATAATACTGGAGTGATGATATTAAGGGAAGGAAATAGAGTGTCTTTTCTCTCTACTGGTTTGACTTCTTAGACATTTAAAAAATAAAATTATTTGGAGAATCCAAAGTAATATTAGATGGAGAAAAATAACCAGTAATACTACGCCTTTTCTTCATACAAAGACAACATTTATATCAGGGCTGTTCTTTTTTTTTTTTTTTTTAATCCCCCTCACTGTGAAATTTTATGATCCATGCCCCTATGTTCACTCATTCCTAGGGTTGAGGAATTCCTCTTCTATTGGAGGTTAAGGTAAAACAAACTAAGCAATTACCTGAGTGAAAAGTAAGGAAGCTTCAACTTTAATTTTTAATCTTAAACTGTGATTAATCAGATTCATGAAAAAAAAAAATAAAACAGTCCTATGGCTGTAACATGTAAAGCCCAGGCTGACGAAACAGTTGAGTATAAAGTACAAAACTATATTCCTTTGTCAGATGACAGACAAAGTTCCTGGTATCTGGTACCCTTCCCTTTTGGTGTACTAATGACAAAAAGCTCAAAATACATAGTTGATAAAACATTTATACAAATGGGTGGTGGGCAGCACTAGACTGAGAACTATTGGACACTGATTGCTCCTGGGTGAGGGAGACTGTGCCTTACACACATGATCTCTAGATGGGCTGACTAGACTCCAGTGAATGAATTTACAGTAAAGGACATCTGGGTACAAATGTTTGACTGGGTAGGACATAACATGTACGGTGGAATGCATGAGTTCCAGTAGGGGGATGGAGGAGGTATGGGTGGAGCAGGGGGTCTAAATTTGATTAAGAACTATTGTATAAAATTACAAAAGCTCAATAAAAAAATTCATAGGTCCTCTGTTGATCACTGATACAGAAGCCATGGCAGAAAGCTTATTTTCTTGTATACTCAGCTCTGTCCTTTGTCTGGATTTCAAGTTTTCTGTGAATACAAAGAGGAATTTGTGTTTCCCTTTAAGAACAAAGAATTTGAATGCTCCTTAGATTCTATCACTGGAAACTCTTGCATTCTGAATGTTGGTATTCTCCTGGCCTCCAACCTTGAGCTTCTCTTCCATGATGGACACCTATGGTTTGGGTATTCTTTTGGATGCCTATTTTATGCCAGTAATTTTCAAACTCATTTATACCATGTAAAAGTTTTTGTGTCTGACAGGGAAGATTACATATA